CTTGTCTTTCAGAGATGATCTAACTGATATGCACCTAACTAAACTCTGAGCAATTGCTTTCTAGTTGTATTTAGCTCAAGTAATTTTATTGAGGTCTGCCACATCTGTTCTGGGCCTGATGAAAGCCTTTAGGTGTTCAAAAGCTTGTCTGTTTTTTTACAGCTATAGCAACTGGTTTAATGCAGCATAATACCTCTATCTGCAAATCTAATGAATATTTTTTGAGGGACGAGGAAATTAATGGAGAAAAACTTGAATGCATACTGGACCTGCCAGACAGAAAACAGCAGTGACAGGAGTTTCAGTCATTTAAGAACTGTTACATTTTACCTTTGTCTTCAAGCCTTGCAGTTGTACTGGGTACCATATAAGCAGTCCAGAAATGCTAAGCGTAAGCATCAGCATAAGCATATGCATTATCAGCATTCTTTCCTTACCCCTAATATAGGTATGTCTTACTCTGAACATTGTGAAGGCAAAAATGTTTCCAGGATCATGTAACATCTGTGACAGATCTTGATACCAGTTTCTGGTTTAAGTGCATTTCTCACCCTTTTCTTGTCTCGGGCATAATTCATTGATACTTAGACCTTTGGCTGTACTCTGGTGAGCTTAGAGGGGCAGAAACTTGTATTTGTTGCCTTCCAGCGTGCAGTCTTCTGAAATGTGCTGGGATATAGCGGGGGTAGTTAGTGCAACTTCTACAGCTTTGCTTTCTCTCCTTTGCAGCAACAAGGTTATTGACCACCCCAGCTTTTCTAAAGCTAAGTACTGTTTATTCAGTCACACCATTGATAGGAGTAAATCTCCTGTAAAACAACAAACTGTTATCCCATCTAGCCAGGCAGGCTCTCAGTATTTGTATAGATCATCTGGTACCACCTCCTGGCACCACTAGGTGACCCTAGTTGGGTTCTTGAGTAGAGTATGAGTAAACCTGGACAAGCAAACACACATGCTGATGTGAGGGCCACCACTGAGGTTGTTCCCAGCCCTTCTTTGTTGCCAGACCTTTAGTATCAGATCAAACCTGTAAAATTATATGCTCCGTCCCCTTGGGGTGAATCTTTAAAGGGCATAAGTCACGCACACCTGTCTGTTCTGTCCGCTTTTCCCAACTTTCTGTTGGGACTCCACTGCAGGACTTCTAGTTCTTTGAAAATATGTTTCACGTGGCTGAGTTCGCTACAAATACATTCAGTGACAAACAATGATAAATGTGTCCTTTATAGCATCAAACCAGACAGGTTTGATATTTTGTGCCTTCTCAGCATCTGTTATATTGCTATGTTGCAGTCTTTGCATGACCCAGGATGTTAGGACATTGCAACAGGAATGTTTTTATTCTTGGTTTCAATGTTGCCCCAGTTGTAATTATAGAGAAACATAGATCTCGCTCTACCTTTTGCCCTCACAGCGCCCTCACAGATTTCTCAGAGTTCCTTTTCAGCAAAGACAGAGAAAGACAGCAGATAATAGTTTATGTAGGTGGTGACCTAGCTCCCTGACTTACTTTATTATGGAATGGAAGAGAGTAGCCGGGCCAAACTATGATGGAGATCTGCATGGGCCTGAGGCTGAATGGGCCTGAACTGAATGGGCCTGAGGCTCATTTGGTTGCCGGGCTTGCAGTGGAGTAAAAAACAAGTTCTCTGCATCTATATAGTGAGTGGGAATGCAGGAAAAGCTGTAAAGGAAAGGGAAATGGTTGGGAAAAAAAACCAAACCCATGAGGTAGGCCTGGGAAAAGGAGAGGTTTTATGGAAACTGAGGAGAGGCTGGAGAAGGCATAGCATAAATGAGAATAAGTGAAATTGAAAGAGTAGAAAGGCTGAAAAGAATTTCAGCTCTAAGTCAGAATTGGAAAAGGAAGAGACCTGTAAGAGTAAAAATAATGTTTCTTTCAGGGTTCTTGGTGATGAGATGACAATGATGTCATGGAGAAGGGAGAGACAAAATTAGGGACTTTGTCTGGGACATGAAGTGAGATGAGTTTTAAAAAGGCTTCAGTGCTGAGTCTAAGAGAATAGGGAAGCTAAAGAATTGTATGGGAGAGAAGTATGAAGACAGGCTGGAGTGCTTTGTTAGGTAGGGACATTTGGCTGTATCTCTTGAAACCATTGCCCAGAAAGACTTGTAGAAAATAAGAGGGGCCCTAGCCAAGCTTCTTTATAGCCAGGCCTCCCTAGGAAACCAGTGGATTGTGATATGTAGGAGTGAGATACAGTGAGCACTTTCACTGGGGCTGGCATACTGCTACTAATGCTGCAGGATATTTTGCATCCCACTTTGCTTCAATTAGATCTTTTCTGCTCTGTCTTTCCCCAACAGAGCTACTACTCTGTTCACTTTCCAATAAAGGAATGGAATTAGCTGGAACAATTCTTGGTGGGTCTATATGCAGCATATGTTTAATTGTCTTACATTATACTTGCATTTAGCATGATGATAAAAAAATCAATACTTGGCTAACATTACCCTTCTTGTTACTAAATGGCTGAAAAAGCAAGCAACAAGTACGCATCTTATCTGGCTGTAAATAAATTCAGCTTAAATTTTCATAAGTGTTCATTTTCCCAGCCAAGCTGTGGGTCTGAGAACTGACATGCACAGACATAGTCACTTTTGAAATTGTACTTTTACCGAGGATTGAATCTTTCCTTTTCAATTTTGGTGGAGGATTCCATCCTGTAGCATAAACAATGTTGCCTGCGGAACAGTAAGACTTCAGGAAAGAAGTGCTTTCAAGCCACCCTGTATTTACTCATGCAGCATAAAATGTACCCCATGGGGAAGGGGAATTCCTGTCCGTCAGAGGCGATCCAAATCTGGAGAACCCATTTAACCACTCCAGAACTTCCTCATCCATTGCTCCTTGTGGGAATTGAAACATTTGCTTTGAGATTTACTGTTTGCCTCTCCTCTCCTACTTTAATCCATGTGTCTTGGATTTGGTGTATAATGCTGACAGATTTCCCTAGCTGGGTTCAGATGATACGTGTTTTCAAAGCCCCATTCGTATTGAAGCCCACGTACGATTTTGATGCTGGGTCTTACAACCAGTCTGTCCTCATAAATACTTCTCATTTCATGAGCAAAGATTTGAGTGAAACTGTATTTAAAAACGGTTGGGGAAAGCACTGTTAATGAAGATGAATTATCTTTGGAGTCCTTCTTTCTGTGTGGCCTTCTGGGTGAAGTTTTTGTCAAAAGATTTTCATTTTGCCTTGAAAAACATTCAGTTGTTCTTGCTTTTCTTTTAAATACTGACTATTTATTGTTTATTGTGCAAGATTTGGTTAAAGTGTCTGACACAACTTCAGGATGTTAGATTTGCAGAGTACTGCACAGGAGAGCATCTGTGCTAAAACCACATGCTGTTGTGTATTTTCAGTCTTGACTTTCTCTGCCTACTATATAGATTTGGGAAAATATACATCTCTTAAAGTAACATTTTCCTCAGCCTTCTCTTCACACTTAACACAGTTATTTAAGTTGTGTGTGCTGTATTCAGACTGGCAAGTAGAAGTCAGAGGAGGCTGCCTTATTCCTCAAGGCATCTCATAAGAAACAGAAAAAAAAGGAAGACTGAGGTCCCAATTTACCTCTCGGTGCCTGGGAACGTGCTCTCCTCCTTGATTTGTGGCCAGTGCATGTGTGGTGCCCGGGATCGGCACGGCAGAGGGCCAGGCCCCTTTCCCCGCAGCAGGGGCAGCTGAGGCTCAGGGACTGCTGGCAGGTCTGCCTGAGAGTGCTGGTAAGCGACAAGACAGTTTAAAATGGGCTGGTGGGTGGTTTTCAGTGGCACTGCCTCTGGATGTTGGACCACAGAGCTGAGGGAACCAAAAATATTACGCTAATTGTCTCTAATGGAGATGAGTTAGTGCTCACGGCGATGCAGGTGGGTTCAGTGGAAGTGCAGCTTACTGCAACCCTATGGATTGATTCTTGCATGTGGTGGCTAAAATCAGACCTATGAACAGCACCTGTGACACATTCCTGGTATGTATCCTCCTGTTCTGCTACACTTTCAAAGGAAGTAGAAACTTTAAAAGCTGTAGGCAAAAGTTCTTCAGCTTCCTTTTACTGTTTGCCTGCTTTTATGTGCTGTGGTGTGTATTGCTCAAAACAGGGTTTGGTCACTCAGGTTCCATCAGTTACTTAGAGCTCATTGTTTACAGTTGCTCACTAAGAGGTTATGGTTTATGGCTTTATTCTGTGGGACTCTGTATCTATCAGTTAGGGCTTACAGTTTACTTATTTACTGATCAGGGCATGGGATTTAAAATCTAGCCTCATCCATAAGTTGTAAAGTGTCAACAATCGCTTGGGTTCCAAGATGTGTAGTTTAACAATTAAAGTTCAGGTTTCATGCTTAAATGAAAAGGTCCAGATCTTTGGATAATAAATTTTAAGTCCCAAACCCTAAACAGTAGGCTGTGAACCATTTGGGGGGATTGTTCATATCTTTCCCCTGCTGCCAACCAACTAGGCAAGTGTTTGAAGAAGTGGATGTGCTTGTGCATGCCTGAACGGAAAGAGGGGCATGGCATGGTTATGCCAAAAATGTGGGCACAGGGAGTTCCCATGAAAGGTTAACCCGTAGTGACTAGTCCGATTTGTTTCTTTCAGCAGACCCAAATGTTGTGGTAGTCTTCAAAATGGGGCTGGAGGGGCAGCACTTGTGGCTTGTGTGTTCTCCTGTGCCTTGTTTGTGTGTGTTAGTGTTTATGTTTGTACACTGCATTTGTGCTTTTCTGCAAGGCTTGCAGTTTTTGCATTGCTTTATGCTTTTATAGCATGATGCTTTTTACTATGTCTGTCAGCAAGCAAGCAGATCACAGATTTATTGTCAGAACGGATACCAAGGCAGTGGAGTTGATGTATGCTGGGGAGTGCCTGCTAGCCCTGAGCCCTTTCCTGGACTCGCAGAGGTTTCCTGCAGCTGCAGAAGTTCTTTCTCCACCCCTCTGCCCAGCTCCCTGCCCCTCCGTTTCTACCCCTCTGCCTGACCATCCTTCCCACCAACTCCAGCCGTCTGTCCAGCTTGCTCGCCGCCCTTCTTTTCCTGTCCCAGCCGCTCTGTCCCGCCCATTGTCTCTTCC